GACTTACAGGTCTTTAAAAGTGAATGGATCCTAAGCCTGATACTATAAATGGTTCCTACACATTAAGTAATTTCTGCTTTCTGTTTTATATCGTGAACTGTAAGTGCATGCAGGTTGAAATCCACGGTAGGACTGATTTTCTTCTGATGTAAATGAAGTTGTTTTGCTCTCCAGCTGCTCAGAAGCTCTGCCATCTGCTGGGGATGAATGTAATGGAGTTTACCAGAGCCATCCTGACTCCCAGGATCAAAGTGGGGAGAGACTACGTCCAGAAAGCTCAGACTAAAGAGCAGGTCAGTTTGCTTTGTTTTGGGGGTTTTTCTATTGACTAATGTAATGTGTTTCCTCTTTTGTTCTTGAGATCTTTGGTAGCAGATTAACAGCTGTATATTGATTGTTTAACTAAAAAATGCATTTGTGTTTTTTCTGCTAGATAGCTGAATAATACAGCTGTCTTAGATGAGTTAAGGGCATCCAGAGCTCATGCGGTTAAAATTCTGCTTCAGGTCATGTGTACAAAGTGTTAGATGAACTGTACCTGGGCCTTTTCCAAATCATTGTTACAACAGCTTCCTCAGTCTGTGTGGGTCCTCGTCCTAACCCCTTGTAAAGCATAGTTTCAGGCTGCTTCTGCATACTGAAAGTTGTAAAACTTGTAACTTATGTTCCTTATGCGCAACCCCAGGGCTCTCTCGCTGTGAAGCATTGGTGCAAGCACTAAGCCAGGGAAGTCAAAATAACAAAAGCTTATAGTCAAAACTGTTTTTAAAAAAATTAAATTATAAAGAATGTTATTTTGAACTTTTCTACATTTATTTGTTAAATGAAGCACTGGAAATTTAAAGTGCAGTAGTCCTGCAGACTGATACAGATCCAGCTGTCATCCAAGCATTTCGGATAAAAAGTCTCAGAAAGAAACGTGAGTGCAACTAGAAGTGTGTTTGTAGAATTCATTTAGTTTCAGCCCACACACACTTATGTCTTTGTTGTTGTTGTTCCCGTGCCACATTCAGGTCTTTTCTCTGTTCATTGTTTTGTCACGGTCTTCTTTTTTCACGCTTTGTCTCTGCAGGCGGACTTTGCTGTCGAGGCCCTGGCTAAAGCTACATATGAGCGTCTGTTCCGCTGGCTTGTCCATCGCATTAATAAAGCCCTGGACCGAACCAAACGGCAGGGTGCCTCCTTCATCGGTATCCTGGACATTGCTGGTTTTGAGATCTTCCAGGTCTGAATTGAAATCTTTTAGTTCTTTAATGACAAAGTTTATCTATTTATTTTTTATTTGCCACGTGGTTAGTGGTTGTCAGTTTGTGTCATTGGTAATTATTTCCAGTGATGATGATGTTCTTGCTTGTGTCGATCTTCTTCTCGTGCAGCTGAACTCGTTTGAGCAGCTCTGCATCAACTACACCAACGAGAAGCTGCAGCAGCTCTTCAACCACACCATGTTCATCCTGGAGCAGGAGGAGTACCAGAGGGAGGGCAT